GGAGGCGTTTGCCCAAGGGAAGAAATGCTGCGCATTGTCCCTGATGTGTTAGCAGTAAACCTGCTCCAATATCGCTGTGAACTTGTTCGCGCGGGAATTTTACGCGAGCTCTTTGACAGCTGGAACGGCTCCAAGATGATTTTTTTTGCTTTTCCTTCGTCTTGAGAATAAATCTGAGGCTATTTTCCCCATTGGATTTCCTTTATGATCTTGTTTCGTGGACTCATCGCGACTTGAACTTGTGGATAGGGCTGAAAACTTTAAACCCGGTGAGACTTGCTCTCCTTCCGGGGATACTGTGAATTGTTTAAAACAAATTCTTTCAGAACTGTGTTCTCCTTCATAACCCAAGCCCCTTTCATAGCCAGTCTTGTGGTTTTTTCGTGACTTCTTTCGCTGGAACCACTATATTTTATTGGAAACCAACAGCTTATTACAGGCACATGTTCCGCTCAACGTAAGCAGTAGAAATATCCCAGCGCATAAGCATCGTATTGGTCTAATCGGGGCTCCTTTCCCTGCCCTCTACGTGATGCAAGAAACTTGATAACCTATAAATTAAATGTTTGGTGTTCAGATACCGTTATGACTGCGCAGAACATCAATGAGGAGGTGAACCGTGACGAGTTGAAATATTTGGATCAGATTCGTGAGATCATCGAGAATGGCAAGCTGCGTACTGATCGAACTGGAACCGGAACCTTGTCCATTTTTGGCATGCAGTCGCGCTATTCTCTCCGTAATGGTATGTGCTCAGTTTCATCATGCTGCTTTAGCCTTCAACTTTCTCACAGGAGCGGTTCAACATATCCACTGGGCGCTGTTCAGCCTTCGACAGAGGGGCCCGAAAGCCTTTAAAGCTATCGAATGGCTGCTAATAATCTCGGGTGTGTGACAGGACAATCGTAATTGGCCGCACTGCTGGAGGTCGCGCCGCAGATGGCGATTTGTAGAGGAGGGGAAAACTCACCCGTGCGCGTATGCGGCGCGGTTTTTTGACGTCACCGCGGCGGCAGGGCGGAGCGAAGGGCGATGGCCTGCGCCTCCGCCACTGTGCTCCAATCAGCAGCAGCTTTTATGTGGATCAAAAAGAGAGGAAAAGAGAGAAAAGAGAATTGAACAGATAGTGGATGCTTATAGGTGAGTTAGTGGTAGTGGTGAGCAGCGAATACAGAAATTCGACTGTCAGGGCGAATCACTTCAGTCAATTGCGAAACTGGCGAAACAGTCCCCTTCGATTGCGAAACGATGCGAACAGCTCTTACGTCATATGGTGAGGACGATGAAGGTTTGGCAAATAGCCAACATGAGTTGTTATAACTTTTGCTTAAAGTCTATTTGCGTCGTTTTCGCAATCGAAGAGAACTATTTCGCCAGTTTCACCGTTGACTGAAGTAATTCCCCTTAGTCGACTTTTCTGTATTCTCTGCTCACCACTACCACTAACTCCCCTGTAAGCATTTGCTACCTGTTCAATTCTCTTTTCCCCTCTTTTTCCTTCCACATAAAAGCGGCTGCTGACTGGGCGCAGTGGCGGAGGCGCAGGCCATCGCCCTTCGCTCCGCCCTGCTGCTGCGGTGACGTCCAAACACCACGCCGCATACGAAAATGGGTGAGTTTTTCCACTGAGCCGTCGTAGATGGTGAC